TGCTGAATAGCTACGATGTGATGATTGTGGAAAAGAAATGTAAACTCATTTATCCTGTTAAAGAAGACATCAGTACTATACAGTATTACGTCACGGAATTATTTCACATACTTCATGGAGCTTATTTGTCTATTGGACACGGAGGACGTGATGTTTCCCTTAATAATAAAGGCATAAATTATGTTTTGTACAACTTTCATTTTTCTTTACTCATTTTGAAGAATTTTTTTTTTTTTTTTTTTTTTTTGTAATGGCATTCTCATTATTTTTCCAGAGTAACATATGTATTTTTGAGAAATGCACATTATTTACATAATAACCTCATTAGGACGTTTACGTCCGGCATTATATACAATGTCTAGGCATTCTATAGAATGCCGGCGTTTCATACTTTACCGGTAACATATACATATATATACTTTATCTATGTATATATATATATTTCAGAATGGCGAATTCACGATATCCACTATATTTGAAAAGTTTCTAAGATAGTGTTTCGTTTATAAGATTCACGGTGCCGGAAATTTTAACTAAAACATATTATCTGCGGGTTTCCATTTTATTCTGTAAGATTCAATATCTTAATTCAAGATGAAATGAATTAGTTTTGAGCTGTAAGATTTCCTGATAGATAATCTGAAAATGCAAAGCTAGTTAAATTAAAGAGCTAGCAAAGCTAGTTGAATTCTGAAGCTAGTTAACACAAAACTAGTCAAATTAAATAATTTTAACCATTTAATTTGAAATTAATATATTTAAGACAATGTTTCCCTTGAGGGGAAATTTTTATAATTAATACTTAAAATATTTGGAGCTATTTTGTTGCACTTAATTTAGAGCAAATGCCCGATAATCCGACACGCTTGGGAATTCCGTATAAGCATATACTTTATAATGCTGTAGAAATCTCATTCTATATACGACATTTATATATAAAAATGAAAAATATTAAACAAAATTGTACGTGCATCAATCCTACAAATATGTCTAATGCTTGAAAACGTACTACAAAATAAACTATGTACATAACTTAGCACTTCTTAACTAATTTATGTTTGTATACTTGTTGCACTGTCATAAAGTGAAACCTTTCAAGCAGAGTTCGATTATTATCTGCTGTACGCACATTATTTCATGATTTTTTTCATAATGACTGTTGAATACACTCATTAAGAAACAAAAAGAACAACACTCATGACTTCTTATACGCTTCAGTTATTATCCGACGTTATAATGGCTAATTTTATCTTCTAAAACTCTGAGCTTTTTCGAAGCAACATTCTGAAAGTTTTTCAATATTTTATAGCGGCTGAGAGCAAACGACAAGTATTTTCGCCGCCTTCAAAAGCATTTAGCTTCCTAACATTCGGCAACAATTTTAGTTAAATTTCCTGCGGAATATTGAATCATAAGCATACCTCCCCCTTAAAAGTAAATATCCAACATCTTTAAGATCAAGTCTATATGCAGGTGACAGATGACGGAGGACGGGGACGCATGGTGTATAACAGTGGTTAACAAGCAAGTCTATATGCAACTTATATAGCTTAAAATCCTTATTGGTTTTAAAAGGTATTTCTCCCGCCTTATTGGTTTTAAAAGGTATTTCTCCCGTAGAAGTAAGTGGTCACCACTCTCGGCGCGTATTCGAGAGGTCCGTGGTTCAAGTCCCGGCGAGGACATTGCTCATTCATCACATCTCCCGCTTTCAAAAAATACCTAATGCCTTTATAGTGGCGCCCGAACTAAAAAAGATTGCGGATGATGATTCTCCACCACCAAGATTTGGCGATTGGGTCCCCTAATCTCCATTTGCTCTTAAAAAGGGGGAGTATATAAAGTATTTCTCCCGCCTTCTTAGCATGCCTTCGTGGTGTAGTGGTTAGCACTCTCGGCGCGTATTCGAGAGGTCCGTGATTCGATTCCCGGCGAGGGCATTGCTCATTTTTCATCTCTCCTGCTTCGAAATAACCTAATGTCTCTACAGTCTTATAGGAAAGGAAGCAGCTGACAAATTAGCTAAAGAAGGAAGCAGCACTTATGAAACAAATGCGTTAAAAATCGCGGCACCTACTTCTCACCTAAAAAGAATTCTTCATAAAAGGACGAAACAACATGAGATATGTAGCATGGGATCTAAAAAAATTAGGATATCTAGAAGAAACTGGTAAACGCACATATGAAGCTTCATTCCTAAAGTCATCAGAAACAGACGTATAGTAAGCCACCTCATAACTATCTAATTTTTATTACGGGTCATGGCCCCTTTCCAATTTATTTTAATCGTTTTTGTCATCTGAAATACAAGTACTCGTACATGTGTCTGCGGATTAGAAGGCTCACCTGATCATTATGCCTTTTACTGTCCACTTACAGCTGCCACTCATTTACCTCAAACGACCTGCAGTGTGGACTCATTAAAAATTTTATTATCAAAAACCGCGCATCAATTAAGGACATCGGCAATACAATCAACATTATTTCAGCTATGAGACAAGATATTTATCAAACAGAATGAAGACGTCAGTAAAGTTAAGAAGCAATAATTGCAACAAAGCAAGTGCTAAAGAACTAGCCAAAGAAACTTTAGATCAAATTCTAAGAATTAACATAGACATTTAGCTATTAAACATAGCAATTAAAATTTTACTTTATGTTATAATGATTATTACATGGCACTTTAAAACATAATTGTAAATATGTTTACATAATTTGACTTCTAAATGCATAAGTGAAAGACCCGTTTGCATCGAAATCTTGAAATTGTCAGTTTTTAATTTACATGATCCTAAATTTAAAATTTGTGTGTACTTTTAATGCTTAATTTAGTTATGTTTGAACTTTTTTATTTAGTTACATTATTATGTTTATTTAATTATGTTTTAGGTGTATTGTATTTATATACATATTTATGTAAATGTAGTATATATGTTATCGTGAAAGACCGAAATTGGAGAATGTCGACTTTCACCGGAGAATATCAACATTCACCAAATACGTCGGTGAAAGACCGAATATTTCACTACATTCTTGTATATTCGGACCCTCACCAGTGTATGTCGACAATCACAGATATGCTCTGGTGAAAGTCGAAAAGAGAGGTCATAAGTGCCATAATAGTTTAAATTGTTGCAATAAATAAGATTTGAATGACATAATTTAGTAAGTTTTTTTATTACTGTTATTTTATTTTCTCATTTAGAACGTACTGTATAATTAAGTAAGTTTTTAACTTCTATTATTTTCCTTTCTCATTTTGAATGTATTGTGTCTAGTAAATTAGTATCCTTATTTGCACATCAGCCTTTAAAACTCATCGCCATTCATTCGTAAAGACACATTCTGCTTCACTGATGAAATATGATTGATTTTCTCAACCATGCCCTGAAGCAACATCATTAATCAATTAAACAATGTCGCCATGTGCGTATAACTCATTGACCACAATTAATCTGCAGAGCAACTGAGATACTTGTTATTGTTTAGTTAAAAGCTGATGACTAGATAGTCATAAATCTAATACTCTGCTTGTAATTACTATTCATTCAAGTAAATTATAATGGTTTAAAACCATCTGCTTATTTTATGCTCCACGAAACTATTTGTAATATTTTAACAATGTTTTCTCGATAAATGGAAGCAACAAAAATGATTAATCAAGTACAGTATTTATTGAGATGGATTAAATTCATCCACTATTATAAAACTGTTACACTAAGCAGGTTAAAAAAAATATGGCGTATATTTAAAATTATAAAAATTACTTTTGCTTTGTATTCAAGATATTTATTAAACACGTCAATAGTTTTGTAGAAAGGATATTATGTATTTAGAAAATACATACCCGCAGATAACAAAGATAAGGTGTAAAAGTTTGCATACCTTTTGGACAAAGTGGTTACGTACTTGAGTAACAACAGTGTGGTCAACCATCAGGCAGTTCGTAAATGGTTAAGATTTTTGAATACTTGCAGTTCAAACCGGGTTCGAACACAGCCCCCCCCCCCAGTGAGCGGGTCGCATGTGTCTCATGGATAGTCTTCTACAGAGGCATCTCTTGTTTTAGACCAGACAGCCTTAGGTTACTTACATCCGTATGATAAAGCTTTCGTATGCTTTTTCATTACTATGTAATCTAACTTGGATTAGGGTATAAGGTATTTCTCATGCCTTCTTAGCGTGCCTTCGTCGTGTAGTGGTCACCACCCTGGGCATGTATTCCAGAGGTCCGTGGTTCGATTCCCAGCGAAGGCTTTGCTCATTTTTCACTTCTTCCCATTTCAAAAATAACCTAATGTTTCTACAGTAGCGCCCGAACTAAAAGGGTGGTGGCTGATGATTCTCCACACCCAGGATGTGGCGATTGGGTCCTCAAAACCCCAGTCGCCTTTTAAAAGGGGAAGTATATAAGGTATTTCTCTTGACTTCGTAGTTTAGTGGTCAGCATCCTGTGCGCGTATTCCAGGGGTTCGCGGTTCTATTCCCGGCAAAGGCATTGCTATCTTTTCAATTCTCCTGCTTCCAAAAATATATATAAAGTACTATATAGCGTTCTTAGGAAAGCTGTCCAAAATTATTTTTAATATTTCTTGTACCTTAGCAAATAGTTGATCAGCAGAAATTGCTCTGGAGTGAAACAGCTCTTGAATATTTATAAAATGGGTTTCTAAATAACCCACTTTAAGCGCGGCGAATGGCGAGCAAGTCGGGAATATGGGTATCGGATTAATGGATGCGCCGAACCATTGAATGCCTTATTTTCGGACTTTTGCTGTTTTTTGTTACAAGCTTTTAAGACAACTTTCCTTCTATATGATTATATTTATCACCTATAAAGGAGAAGAAGAAAATACCTACTCATCTTATAGCCTATTTAGCTCTAAACAAATTCTAAACAAGTAATTTGGTTGTTATATTTATAGCTTTGTTGAAAATTCTAAGATATGTATGTTTTAATTTATATCGAACAATTTTAATATGTTTGTGTTCATTTTAAGGGGATAATAATCTACAAGAAGAAAAATGTGAAAGACGACAGCAAGTTTTATCTGTTGGACCAAATGGCTGTTTGCAAAACGTACATGTATCAGATTTCATAAAAGATGCTGAACTTCCTACGCAGCAACATAAAATAAGTTCTCAAACTATAAATTGCTCTTTTCCTGCAGTGAACTCGTACAATGAAAAACAAAGAATAAAGGTCACTAAATATCGCAAAACAGCCACATTTAAAGACACTTTTAGGCAGCTGTGCTTATTTAATGTGAAAAAAGCACTGTCTATTAAAGTACCTGAAGCAAGTAAACAAAGTGAGGTATTTCAAGAATATTTACCTAAGAAGTTTGTGACTTTTTCGGAAGTGAGGAGAAAAGAACGCAAGTCAGAAAAAGTGAATTCTGGTTGGATATTCAAGCACAGTCCCAAAATGTTATGCCTCCGCAGAAAAGATTTTCTTTGGTGACCTGAGAAAGCTTTAATTGTTCGAATAAAACCTAAACCTTGTGCGTAATTTAAGTATCCCACTAACATCCGCGGTCAGGCGGTGAATCCGCTGAATACTGGTAATTCGATTCGGGACATAACGTACATTGTGACTCATAAACGTAATGAGTATTTATTTACTCGAGAGTTGGTGCTGGTGTATTTAATTACGGCAAAGCACACTAGGGCTATCTGCCTAATAAGGGGAGGGATGCCTTCGTGGAGGACTTTCTAAGGAAAACTGGCTCGTATACACGTTACACATGGGGAAAACCACAACAAAAACACCCATGCAGCCAGCCCGTTCACGGGATTCGAACCTCAGACCGAACTACCAGTGTTCAGCGATTTTACTGCTCGGCCGCTGGTGGACTATTTACTCGAGAGAAAGCCTGGAATTAAAAGAATAGAACAGAACGATAAGATTTTGATTTCAAAATAGAGAATTGCGTTCAGTAATAATCCAAATAACCTAACACCTTTCGGACATACGAGGTTCAGTATCTTCAGTATAGCACACAACATTCAGCAAAATAGGATGTCTGCTATAGGATTATATGGGTGCCTGCTCAATTCTATGCCAGACTAAATTGAAATCAGAGCTCCATTTCTAAAATCAGAAGGAAAAGAGCCCTACGAAAGCCCTGCTTAGGAAAGATAAGTTAAATGAACAAAACAATAAAATTAAACAAAATGTAATAATAGAATTAAACTAAATAAAATGTTGCTAAATTTAATTTATATAATTAAGATAGTTAAATAATAAATTAAAATATGAGAATATATCTTATTTGGGGCTCCGACTGAGATTACGTTTCTGCTCAAGACTGAGAAGACTGAGGCCGGATTCCGTGGGCTCCACTGAATTTAAACGTGATTCAGTATGATGCCCTTTTGAAGATCAATAATATAGTACACATTCCTCTGTAACTGTACGGCTGCCCCTTTTCTGTCATTCTTGAAATGCTCAGATATATATATATATATATATATATATATATATATATTCAGTGCTAGTAACAGATGAAGTATGATTTCACCACTGTGACCCAGAAACAAAAGAATGGATTATAGTGGGGGATCTCACAAATACCATAAACCTAGAAATTTCCCAATAAGATTTTTGGCGCCATTTTTTGACATAAAGAGTCACATCTGCTTACTGACTATAGATCGCGGAATTTCATGATAAAAGGAGTCTATTATACAATACTAATCTGTTGATTCAACTCTAACAAAACTCATTCAATCCACTAAGCACTGACAATAAAATCGAGGATCATATCTCGGTGAATGGACTGGCTACATAGGAGTTTTAGCAGTTTTCGCCATATATAAAGTGAACACGCTTCAGATTTCCTCAAAATATCCTTCAAAATGGTGTGTCCCTCCTTTATCCTTACTTATCATTTTTACAATACTTCTTTAAGTGACTAAAACGTAAACAATTCAGACATCTCTTCGGCTGAATGAAAAGCTTAGCTGCGTAAGCTTTCCAACCAAACTGTACTCGATTGCAATTCAAAACTTCCTCTTGACATATAGGAGAAATTTCTTAAATTCTGTGAGACACACCATATTCACTTATTTTAATACGAAAAAGAGAACATACACACTTACCATCGCAAACACAATCCTCTTTTGTTCTAGAACCAAGGGCAACATCATCAACCATATCACTAACATTATATATAATAATCTTGGGTTTAATGAATTTATTACGATGTGTAATAAATTCATTAGACCCAAATATATAGATTAATTATAGTTATACAGAGAACGGTGCCAAATAATCGCCATGTTTGGCGACTTTTGGAAAATTCTCGCCGAATTTGGCGAGAAAATTAATTGCCAAAACCCTCGCCAATTAAACGAGATAGCCACTTAATGATAAACAGACTTGCCCTTGTATTCTTGTTTTTCCGCAGAGCATCATCTCTTTAGATTTCATTATACAAAAAATACTACAGTTTCAGATATAATTTCACTAAAATTATTCACATGTGTACAAAATTCGTAACAATATTTTCTCAAGTGATTTATCACGTAATCACATTTGAAGTAAAAATGCTATGTTCAAAGAAACAGTTCATAAAAAATCAAAAAAGAAGAAAAAAAAAAAGTTTAAATTAAAAAAAAAAAGAGAAAATCTGAAAGGTTTCAGATTTTAAATTACGTCCAAAGGGGGCATTTCTTTAACATTTTCTGTATTACCTTTATTTATTAAAATATCATTTTCTTCGCACTTAAACCATAAAATTCAGTTCAAGAGCAATATCCGAAAATAATTTTAAGTTGAGCATATCTTTTAGAATTTCCGAGACAGTCTTTTTTTGTATTATCTGCATCCATGTTCCTCTATTCTTCTATCATTACTGTTGTTTTTAATTCTTTTTCTTTAATGTGGCTTCATACTCTAACCTCTAATTCTCTCCAAATGTGTTCTGTTGGGTTAAAATCTGGTGTGGTGGTGTTTTCAGAACTTGTGCACAATTATAGATGCCGTGCGCTTAAGATCATTATCCCAAATAAAAAATAGTAAAATAAAATAGTTATTCAAATTTGGTAAATAAAATAAAGTTAGTTTTAAATCCAGTTAAAATAAAATTAGCTTCCAGCATCCAAATTTTGAGCGGATATTTTAAATTATCTTTTAAAATATTTAAATAAAGAGAATGGTTAATTGTGATATCAATAAATACTAAATTATTTAATCCTGATGCTAACATCCAACCTCACACAAGAACACCTCCACTGCCATGCTTTACTGTTTCAACCAAGGTCTTGAGATTATGCCCCTCATTTTTTTCCTCCATTATACACCCACAGGAAGCAAATATGTTAAATTTGCTTTCATCTGCAAATAAAACATAATTCCAATACATTTCGGACCTATTTATCATTGATTTTTGAGAAGAAAAGCCTAAGACTTCTATTTTTTTGCATGGATAAAGAAATTTCTTCGAGCAGAGCACCCATGTAATCCAGCTGATCTGAATAATCTTTGAAAAATTTTAGGTGAAAGAGAAAAATTTAAAGTAAATGTCTGTAGAAATTCTTACAACACTCAAATGTGGATTTTTCTCGGATTTCTTAACTATAAAGCACTGATCACGTTGAGTCACATTGACTCTTTACCGGACAACCTCTTCTTTCTTTATTTTGAATCAGATTTTCTTCTTTAAAGCATTTTATCACATACTGTACCATAGAATGGGATAAATTTACTAATTTAGCAAGAGCCAGAATTGAATTTTCACCCTTATGATAAAACATGATCAATTTTTGAATGATGCTCGTAGTTTTGTTACGACTATGAGTCATTTTTTAACATTAAATAAAGTATAATGAAGTAAGCAAGCAAAAAATAAAGCCGATCCGAACAAGTATGGCTGGAGTAGCGTGCGAAGCGTGCTGTTTCCAGCTCATGAGGAGAGCCAGCAGGCACATGACGGTAGGAAGTCTGACGTGGTAGGAGTTAAGAGAATGAGGTGAGGCAGAAGGGGGCAAGCAAGATGCCGCAAAAGCCTAGGAATTAGGCCAGACAAAGACACACCGCAGATGGAGCCTGCAATTAAAGCAATAATGAGTTTTTAAGATAAGATACTGTGAAAGTATACTACATGACAGAACGATTTTTGTAAGAATACAAACTCTCAAAGGCATATATAGAGTTACAGTGACAAAAATGCAGTTTGGAAGATCAGAAATCATATAGAAGTTTCGATGAATAATAAAAAAGTATTCAAAAAGCTATATACAATATGTACAACTATATACAGGAATGTTCTCTTATGTAGGAAAGTTCAGATCTCTGGCTAGGTGGGCTGCCAGTGGTCGTAACTCTTTATCTTCCGGCAGTGGAATGTAGTCATATACAGTAATTTTTGTCAGGTGAGGGCAGTAATGCTTTCTGGAAAAGCTGGAGTTTAGGCGATGAGATGCTCTATGACAGTTTCAATTTTCAAATCTTTGTGAAAGTCCTATTAGATACAAAATAATGCGCATTCGTGAAGGTGAAAAATAAAGCCAAACATTTTTTAAACATCACATAAATGCCAAAATATAAAAAAAGTGGCAGACAATAATTTCATTTATGAAATTTTCTGAAAATGTTTCAATGTACGATCACTTTTGTCGCCTGTTTTATCTATGCCTCCTTACATTTCCAATTTTAGAAAAATAAAATAACTCAGTTTTAAAAATTAATAAAATTTAAAATACAGTTTGATTTTATTCAAAATCACAAGCAGATGATGTGAAAAAATATTAGGCTTTATTCGAATTCAGTTTCGAGTTACAGCACCTTTTTCTGCAAATTCTTAAAGTGGGCAAACACTTTTAAGAGACATTATATAATAACTTCGATTAAAGCAAGAATTACTTATATGATATTTGTAGCACTTATACGTTAACTACAGGTAAAATCATTTCATGCTGATGGGATATAATAAATGATTTTACAGCTTACAAAACCTGTTTGGTAATTTGACACTTGAATTATTTCATTACTTCAGTGGGAGTAATTATTCAAACTGCAAGGCTTTTCTTACAAATAAGGTTTAGAATTTTTGATAATAGTTTTGAAAATGTTATCATCATTGAAATAATAATAAAAAAAGAAATATTTACTTATGCTTAAATCTTTATTAGATATTTTAATAATTTTTCTTAAAAAGTGAAATAGTTGAATTATTATTTTATAATTTTCATGAAAAATTATCATGTCAGGAAAGCCACCTTCAGCAGCATATTGTAAAATGTTATGGTTGGTCTGACTAAAAAATGGTTGGTCTTTTTAGAACAACAACAAAACTGAAATTAAATATTGTTGACACTCATAAAATTGTATTTAAAGCATATCGTTTGTATTTATGTAAAGCTAACATGCATATATTAAAATAAATACATATTTAACAAGCAGATCATAAATATGCCCCACCATTTTCTGGAGCACGCTTTTAACAAATAGGAGTGATAAATTGTTTATCTATATTCAACCATCTTCTCACATTCACTAGCTTAATCACTATCATGTTCTTCCACTGTTTACTAAATAATAGGGATAAGCATTAACAAAATAGGCTCA